CAAGGTAGACCCTACAATAATAGATACAGAGAAAAACCAACAATCATATGACCCCCTATGAGCAAGCACTTTGGCGACAGTGGGAAGGAAAAACTCCCTTTTAACAGGAAGAAACCTCCGGCAGAACCAGGCTCAGGGAGGGGCGGGGCCATCTGCTGTGACCGGTTGGGGTGAGAGAAGGAAGACAGGATAAAGACATGCTGTGGAAGAGAGACAGAGGTTAATAACAGATATGATTCAATGCAGAGAGGTCTATTAATACAGTGAGATCAAACATAATTTCTTATCCTCTCCTTTTCCTTTTGGATATTATTATTATTATTATTATTATTGTTGGGTTTGTACTACAGTAGGGTGTGAAACTTACAAAATGAAGCACCTGGTCCGAACTGAAACTATAAATGACATTGAACTGAAGTTATAAATCTGGAGTCCGTGAAATATAATTGACAAGGTTTATAAATATAATTTTTAGGAGGATGAGAATTGCCAACTGGCAGGGGAGCCTCCAGAATTTCTTCATAGGGGTGGCCATCTGGGGGTCACTAAAAGTATCGGGGTGGCACACCAGAAACAGAATTTTTAGTTTCATTATGCTGCTGTAAAACACAGGTTACTGAGGGGTTTGGCAAATTATTGGGGGGGTGGCCAGTGGGTAGTCACTCTGACAACTAAGACCATTATTACCCATGACTATCAGCTTCTTATTGGGGGTTTACTTACCCACAGAGGGCACATATAAGGGCCACTGAGATTAAAGTGTTGAAGCTCTTTTCATCTTCTTGCTCAAAAACATTCTTTTCTTTCTTTGTGAAAGCTTCAGAAGATTTTGTTTGCAGAAAAAATAAAGATAAAACTGCATGACATAACTCTGAAGTTCAGTCGCACTGCTGACTCACCACGTGCATCAGCGTCTTCTCTTAATGCATCCTATGAAATCTTTTCCGCCTCCTCTGAGCTATAAAAATCTTTCTGCTGCAGAATTTTTAGTCTCAGTGCTTCCTCAGCCTTCTCCTCCTCCTTCTTTTATTTGTGTGCGTTCTGGTTCAAAGGCAGTTCTTGGGCAAGAT